AGAGGTCTGCTGCCCCATGTGGGTTGCTCCCTGGCCAGGATCAAACTCAGATCTAAGCAGTGATAGCATTCAGGCTTAAACCTTATGCCACCAGGGAGGCCCTGTTTTTATTTTTTTTATATCTTTTGATATTATTTAAAATAATAGAAGCACTCCTACTGCTCTACTTTCATAATAAACACGCTCCTTCCTCCCTGCCTTTGGCTCAGGTCGGATTTACACTTGTCTTTGTCACCTTTACTCAGTGTCCATCTCTCATGACAGAGCAAGCTCTATGTCTCCAGGGTCCTCTCTCTGCTCCCCATTGTGTCTGCAGGGGAGGCAGCTTGGGGAGGCAGGAGCCAGCCAGGGAGAGGGATGCTGGGAAGTGAAGGGGAGGCCAAGGCAGAGAACACTTGGGAGATGCTCCCTGGTTCACTGAGAAAAGCATTTCTCAAAGTGTGGTTGTGGAATCCTTGAAGTCACCCAGAGCCTGTCACAGGAGCCACGAGGTCAAAACTATTTTCAAAATGTCACTTAGACACCATTGGCTTTTTCACTATTTTGCCATCTGCTGAGGTAAAACTTACTAAAAATGGAGCTTATATTACTAACTGCAGTTATTCTTCACAAGCACTTACCTCAGAAACACAACTCCCAGCCAGTTTCATTTCAAATTGTCTTGGTTGAAGCATTAAAAATTATCTTCATTATTCTGTCATCTTCAAATCCACATTTTACAGCACCTGATGCGAGGACACACAAGTGCACACAGAACACTCCTGCTGCGTTCCCAACTACCATGTGCCAAGAAACATATTTGCATGAGATGAATTAGACTATTTTTCTTTTTTTTTGTAGGCAATACCATCTTCACATGAAGGAATGAATGACAAAATCTGTGGCTATTTGATTTGGTTAATTAGCAGACATTGTCCTGAACTTGAGTGTGTGCTCCTTTAAGAAAATCAACTGACAAGGGCCTCCCCTGGTGGCACAGCAGTTGAGGGTTGGGCTGTGATCCTGGCCACTGGTGAGGGTCCCACATGGCATGCAGACCTCTCTTGCTGCCCAGTGCTCTCCTCAGCAGTGTATTTCCTTGTTCTGCCTGTTCTGCTCCCCACTCTGGCCCTGGTGAATTCTCTCACCTTTCAGCTCTCTGACTGTACCCAGTTCTTGTGTAAATAAATAAATAAATCTTTAAAAAAAAAAAAAAAAGAAAATCAACTGGCAATTGATAACTGAGAGTAACTTCACCTTGACCAAATATAAGTGCTCAGAAAAAAACAGAATCATGAAAACTGTGTCCTATCACTTGCCAACTTCCAGTACTACTTTTACTTTTTGGATTTGTAGTGAAAAATAATTTTTTCATAGACTTCAACCAGAACCACAGTTAAATGCAGAAGGAAGCATGAAATTCCTACTGTCTTCTAATGAGACAGACAAGATAAACAACGAGACAGACAAGAAGACAACTGCAAACATAAAACACGTGAAAGATCCACTCTTCTCATTGCCCTGATTATTTTCAGAAATACGTTATTTTTCTTAAGAACACTTTCTATTAACATGCTTGGATTATTACTATTATTCTAAATAAACAGCTGCATGATCAAACTCAGCTTTATTCCCAGTGTGGTCAATATGGGGAGCGATACCTTCTAAACAAGATTATACTTGGCGTCCTCCCTAATTCGTAAGACTGGTCATGGATCCGGGAAGGAAAATACTGAGAATCACAGACCCAGCGCTTGGGTCATGGAGACAGGGTGACAAGCTTTGGGTGAGGAGAGGAGGGGCCAGAGCAAAGCCCCAGGGCCCTAGTCTGGTTCTCATAGTTCCAGGCCCCAGGGCTGTGTCTAGGGCAGGAAGGTTACTGTTGGGGACACCCCACTACCCCCTTAGCCTCCCTTCTGTCTCCACCACCTGTGCTGGGCCCTGGACACTTGTGACTCCTCCCCAGTTCTCAGTCCCCAGTGCCTGGAGGTTCCCAGAGAACCAGTCAGCATCACTGCCTGCCCAGGTAAATCTCCACCCACCAGCCTGGAGTCAGAAGCTCCCCAGACCCCAGCAGTGCTGGTCATGGAGCCCCCAACCCTCCTCCTGCTGCTTCTCTCCAGGGCTCTGGCCCAGACAGACACCTGGGCTGGTGAGTGCAGGGTGGAGGGAAAAGGCTTCTGCAGAGGAAGCTGCTGCCTTAGGCCCCTCTTTCACCCCCGTGGCCCCCTCAGTCCTGGTCCCTTTCTGCCCCCCCCCCCGCCTCCTCCTTTTGTCCCCTGAGTCTTGCCCCCTCTGGACCCGCTGCCCATGTTCAGTCTCTGGAGCTCCCTCCCTCCTGGACACTTTCTCCCCTGCCCCATCTCCCCGGGACTCAGGACCCGCCCCCGGGAGGAGGGTCCACCTGGCTTCACCCCTCCCCGCCCCCAGGCTCCCCCTCTCTGAGGGTGTTAGAAATGGTGATGTCCTGCCTGGCCTCCAGGAGTCCAGGTGCATCGCGGGGGGCTACGTGGACGACACAAAGTTCGGGTTCTGTTATAGGACAGGGAGAGGGGCAGCCCAAGCCCCGCAAACCTGCCCATTCTAAATGGGTTCTGCCATCCGCCGCATCAACACAAAACATAGGAGACTTTAATGGGAAGGAACTTTAATAAAACTAGGAAACAATACAGGAAAGGCAAAGAGTCTAGTTTCTAAGTGAAGCACCCAAAGTTACCCATCCCCTCGTGGGTAAAAGTCCATCCATATGGGATCGGCCCAGAACAAGGCCCCAAAGCCTGCTACAAGTCTAAAGCATCTTCCAGTGGGGACCCACAGAAAAGGGTCACAAACAACCGGACAAGCCCGGAAGGAAAAGAGCAAAATCAACATCAAGATAAAAGCTGCCCTTGTCACCTCCCCACGGGTCTCACCCACATCTGTGTTACCCAGTCCACGACCAAAAGACAAGCACAGTTTCTTCACGTGTCTCTAGGCTCCATGCGCCTCCTCCAGGTCTCCTTGCTCCATCCTGCTTCCTTCCTCAGTCTCTTCTTCAGCTTCTCCTCTTCCTGCTCAGCTCCACCCTCCCTTGGGTGGGGCAGGGAACCTCCCCCTTTCCTGGGGACCACCCTGTTACAGTTCGACGGCGACTCCCCGGGCTAGAGCGCGGAGCCGCGGGCCCCTGGGCGGGCGGGCGGGCGGGGCGGGAGGGTCGGGCGAGGAGACGCGGCTCCGCAGACACTCGGCGCGGAGGCTCCAAGCGCTCCTGGAGGCCCCGCGCGGCCGCCGCAGCCAGAGCCGGGCCGGGGAGCAGCGCGGGCCGGGGCGGGTCACCGCTCCCGCCCCACCCCCCCCGAGTCTCGGGGCCCCGTGACCCCCGAGGCCGTGGCCCCTGCCAGGCCCTTGACCGGGAAGAGCCCGCGGGACTTTCACCCTTTAGGTTTTATTTAAGTTTGGGATTATTCAGGGCGGGAGATCGGGTGCGGGCAGGAGACCACGGGGTGACTGACAGGAAGGGCGGGCTCAGGGTCTCCCACGATCCAGAGGACTCTGGGCTGCGCCGCGGGGCCCGACGGCGCCTCCCCCGCGGGCACGACCAGCTCCCCACGACGGCGCCGGGGACGCGCCCTGGGCGGGGACCTGCGCGCCTGGACCCGGCGGGCCCGCGGCTCAGCTCCCCGGCGCGAGGGGGAGGGGAAGGTCGGGCAGAGCAGGACGGGAGCAGCCTGGGGGCGGGTGCGTGGAGGGGCCCCCAGACTCCTGGGGATGGGGAAGGAGGCGCCGCAGCTCAGAGGTGAGAGGGCTGCGGGGCCTTTGATCTCCCTGAGGCGCGCACCCCGCAGGGAAATGGAATCATGGTGAGGAAGCGCCCCCTTCTGGCCAGAGAGGGAGCTGTCGGCCACGTTTTCCAGCTCTGGGATGGAGACTGGCCCAGAGGCTCCTACTTTTTCTGAAGGACAGTTAAGGAATCCAGTTCCTCCTGAGAAAGAGGGGAGACCACCCATGAAATCACCCTTCACTGGATCCTTTTGACCGGCGCCATCTTAGGAGCAATGAGTTTCTCTCTCGAGATCTTGTTTTTTGGTCAGAGAACATTTTTGGAGATCTCACTCCTGCCTGTCTGTGTCATCACCCTCCACCCAGGTCAGCAACAAAATGCTCAGAGACCTGCATCCCACCCTGGGCTCTCACCTGCTATCCCGGACTCCCAGACCAGGCTGGTTTCTGGGGTTTGTGCCCCTCCCTCCATCTACACTGTTCTCTCCACTGGAGGATGGTCACATGAGGCTGCTTCAGTGTCCATGGAGGAAACAAAAAGCATTAAAATTCCATTTCTTCCTACTCAGGCCCCCCAATCGCCATATGTGACCCATCACCCCATCTCTGAGCATGAGGTCACCCTGAGGTGCTGGGCCTTGGGCTTCTACCCTGATGACATCACCCTGACCTGGCAGCGAGTTGGGGAGGACCTGACCCAGGACACAGAGCTGGTGAACACCAGGCGGGGGGGGCAGTGGGGACTGGAAACTTCCAGAAGTGGGCAGCTGTGGAGGTGCCTTCTGGAGAGGAGCAGAGATACACATGCCATGTGCAGCATGAGGGGTTGATAGCACCCCTAGTCCTGAGATGGGATAAGGAGGAAATGTGGGCACAGAGGCTGACTCGGGGCCATCAGAAGCCCTTCTGGAGACCTTCAGAGAGTCAGACCAAGGCCTCAGGTTCAGGGTCTGACCTTCCCTTCCCTTCCAGTGCCACCTCCTCAGTTCTCCATCCTTGCCGTGGTCCTCATTTCCAGCTCGGTTTTCTTTAGAGGTGCTCATTGGACACAAGGTGGCTTCATGTGTGAGGGGGTAGAAGAAGTGCTCAGGTAGGGAAGGGAGTGGGGGATCTTGTCCACTGGGGGCTTTCATGTCCCAGGGAGAACTTGCCCTGCCTGGTTAATGGGAAGTACCATCCACACACACGGGTGTTGCCCAGAGGGCATTTGGTCCAGTCCCCCTTCATCTCCTTTCCTCATTTTTCCCAGTCCTGACCTGGGTCTTTAGTCCCAGTTCTGGAAACTTCCCTGTTCTGCAGGATTAGAAGATTCCTTTAGGACTTCTGACCTGACTACTCCCTGGTCTCACCTGATGCTTCTTCCCACAGGAGGACAAGGAGGAAGCTACACTCAGGCTGCAAGTAAGTGTGGTCAAGGCTTTGATCCCTGAGCCCTGGGAATGGTGTAGATGGAGCCCATGAGAGAGTCACTCTCATCAGTTTCTCCTGTGGTCTCCTCTCACCAAGTTTTGTTGTGTTCTCCCCCAGGCAGCCACAGTCCCTGTGCTCTGAAGTGTATCTCCGCCCCTATAGGTGAGACCCTGGAGAATTGCAGTGGGGGTGGGGATTGAGGCAGAGAGGCTGGGACTATGCAATGGGGATGCTTTCAGGAGGACATCTTGGGAATGCAGTGGACCATTGATAATGTTAACACTCGGGTAATGAGTGAGCTGTCAGGGGTGAAGATGCCACCACATCCTAGCAGGGGCCAGGACAGGAGGAGGGGTCCTGCCCAGCTCCTTACACCTCAAGCCAACCATAAACCTCCTCCTCTTCTGCAGGTCCAATGCTTTTTCAGTCCCACTCAGAAGCTCCTTCTCCATGGAACTGTATTTATTGGGGTGTTGTTCTGACACTCTTTACACTGTGTGAAATTTGAATTACTTTATTCTGGGGCTTGATGTTAATTGACTTCCCATCATTTTATATTGTGTACCCTGTCATTCTTGTTACACACACACACGCACACACACACACACACACATGCGCACATTCCCCTCTCCTTGGGAACCAGACCCTCACTCAGCACTGGGGTACTCTGACCCTCTGTCTCTGGTCCCCTCAGAGCCTCCCTCTCTGCAGTGTCTCTACTCAGCAGTGCCTGGGCAGCCCCAGGAGTCCCTGCACCTCCTGCCTCTGCCCTTGTGGGCAACCAGCCCCTCACCCTGCATGGCAGTGAGGAGGCGAAGGCCAAGTCCTGAGGTCAGTGACCAATAGAGGAGACAATTTACCTTTTTCTTTTCTTTTCCCCCTCATTGTATTATTCAGTTGAGGTTAGCATTGGTTTACACACTGTATGTGTTCAGAGGCAAGGGTCACATCTCTTCAGATGTTTGTTACCACATCACACCCACCCTAAGGGCACCCATAGTCTTCACTACAGTCCATCGGGCCCTCTTCCTACTTTGTTTCCTACTCTTACCCCCAGCCATAGCTTCAATTCTACAGTCATATATATAGAATATGTTTTGGTTTAGTTTCATCTGTCCCAACTTTGTTTCTTTATATTCCAAATATGAATGAAATCATCTGTATGTAACTTTTCCTTCAAATTTATTTCACTTAGCATAATCCCATCCATATCTATCATGTTGTTGCAAATTCAATATTTCATCTTTTTCACAGCTGAGTAGTATTCCATAGTGTGTATAGCTTGTGTTCTTTATCCCCTCATCTGCCGTTGGGCACTTAGTTTGTCTCCATCGCTTGGTTATGGTGGACAGCGCTGCAGTGACCGTAGGAGGCGCACATTCCTCGGAATTAGTGTTTTTACCTTCTTTGGATAAATACCATGGAATGGGATGCTTGACCATATGACAGGTCTATTTTGAGGAACCTTCATTTTTTTTTTCCCCATAGGGGCAGGACCAATGTGCTATCCATAGAAAACAGAGGTACCAAGTTACCGCCCCGCCTAAGGAAAGGTGGGGCTGAGCAGGGATGAGAAGCTAAGGAAGAGGAGGAAGACATGGAGCAAGATGGGGAAAGGAGACTGAGGAGGTGCATGGAGCAGAGAGACATGTGAAGAAGAAACCACGCCTTGCTTCTCACTTGGACTTGTTCCATGGAGTTGGGGACATGGAAAGAGACATGTGAAAGAGATTAAAAACATGGGTGAGAGACTCATGGGGAGGCTGACAATGACCGCTGTTATCTTGTCATGGATTTAGATTTTGTTCTTTTCCTTCCAGACTTGCCTGGCCCCTCCTGACCCTTTCCCATGGGTCTCTACCAGTAGGTGCCTTAGCCTTGTGGCAGGCGTTCGGGCCCCAGTGGGCCTGCTTTGGGCCCAGCCTGTTTGGCTGGGCATTGACCCATGAGGGGACGGGTAACTTTGGGTGCTTCACTTGGGAACTATACTAACTATATTCTTTCTCTTCTTCTCTCTCTATTGCACACTGATTCTCTATTTTATAGTAATTGTATTAAAGTTCTTTTCTATTGAAGGTCTTACACTTTAGTGTATGTTTTGTCTTTATGCAGCTGATGGCAGATCCCATGTAGAGTGTGCAGTTTTGAAGGTCCAGGGAACCCCTCATTCTGCCCACTGACAGGACAAGACATCATTCCCACCCACCATGTGCCAGAGTTCCTTTTTCTCCACACCTTTCAATGGGTCATTCTCACAGATGTGAGGTGGGAACTCACTGTGGTTTTATTTATTTTTTAAAGATTTATTTATTTATTATTTATACAAGCACTGGGTACAGTAAGAAGCGCAGGAGGGTGAGAGAATTCACCAAAGCCAGAGCAGGGAACAGAACAGGCAGGCTGTCGAAGAAATACACTGCTGAGGGGAGCAGCAGGAGGGGCAGGTGAGGTCTGTTGCACCATGTGGGACCCTCGCCTGCGGCCGGGGATCAAACTGGCTTGCAGAGGCTGCTGGCAGCTTCGCAGCCCAGTGCTCAACCGCTGCGCCACCAGGGGAGGCCTTCATTGTGGTTTGAATTGGCATTTTTCTGACAGCACATGATGATAAACTTGTATCCATATATCTATTGGCCACATGTGTATCTTTTTTAGAAAAGTACCTATTTAGCTCCTCTCCTCTGTTTTGAGGTGTTTTCTTGTTTTGGAGTTCTTTGTAGATCTTGGATATTAAATCCTTATTGGATTGATGATGTACAAATAGTTTCTCCAATTTGATATTGTCTTTTCATTTTAAGGATAGCTTCCTTCACTATGTAGCTTTTTAGTCTGATGTGATTCCACTGGTTCCTTTTTGCTTTTGAATCCTTGGAGCACAGAAGACACTATGGGCAGTGAAAATCCTCTGTATGATATTCTCATGATGGACACAGGTCATTACACGTGTCCAACACCCCAAGAATGGACAATACCAGAGTAAACCCAAAGGGAAACCATGACTTTGCAACTATGACGAGCAGGTCCATTACTTGTAACCCACGTGTCAGTCTGGTCTTAACACGTGATTTGGTCATGATGTGTGAAGAGTTTTATAAGTTGAGGAATGAAGTGTAATTTACTTTAGAAAGCATATTTCATGCTCATACAAGGACATTTAAATAACACTCAAGGATACGCATAAGTCATTCCCCTCCACCCCCAACACCCCAATCAGCCAGTATCTGCTCAAAACCTAGCAATTTATCTTTTCTCTTCCAAATATATGTATCTCCCATGCTCCTGTCTGGGCAATAGTGTTCGTTTTCCCATCAGTAAAGGAGTTCAGGTCACAGAGTTGGGGGAAACATTTGCAAATCACGAATCTGACAAAGGACTGTATCTACAAATAATGCCGAAAACTCAATGATCAGAAAGAAATAACCCAATTTTAATAAGGACAAAAATAGTGTAATAAATGAATGGCACCTCATCTGTAAAAATGTACAAAACTTCTATAATAACGGCAACTGTATTCATAGAAAAGTGAAAATATGAACAAATGCTCACTATCACAGTTAAGAACAGTGACACCATCACACATAGGAGAGACTGAAAATGCGAACTCTGCATAATACCAGGTGCTGTCAAGGGTGTGAACAACAGAAGCCTCATTACATTCATTTTTTTAATTTTTTTTATTTATATAAGAGCTGGGGTACAGGCCCAAGTCGCGGGAGAGTGAAAGGGTTCACCAGAGACCTGATTCACCAGAGTGGGGAGCAGAACAGACCAGACGGACTGAAAGCACTGCTGAGGGAAGCAGCGGGCGAGAGAGGAGATGTCTGCCCTGCCAAGTGGGAGTCTTCCTGGCTGGCCGGGAATCGAACCTGCACTGCGGAGGCTGCGGACAGCTTCACAGCACTACGTTCAACCCACTGTGCCACCGTGGAGGGCCCTCATCACATTCATTTTAAAAGATGCTTTAGGGGCTGAGAGACACATCAGAGCCCTGGGCACTATTGTTGCCTGGTTGAGAACAAAACAGAACCTGGTAAGAGATGACACCACAGGAGGGACAGATGAGGGTGACTCCCCCATGGAGTCCATTTACACTGTCCCCAGGGGCTCAGGGTCAAACCACTGATCTACACTTACCTCCCTGTGGGTAGAAAAATCATGTGAGACCAGGGAGCAGTCAGGTCAGAAGCCTAAAGGAATCTTCTAATCCTGCACCACAGGGAAGTTTCCAGAACTGGGACTAAAGACCCAGGTCAGGACTGGGGAAAAAGAAGAAAGGAGGTGAGGGGGACTGGAGCAAATGCCCTCTGGGCAACACATGTGTGTGGATGGCACTTCCCAATAAACAGGCAGGGCAAGTTCTGCCTGGGACATGGAAGCCCCCAGTGGACAAGATCCCTCACTCCTTTCCCTACCTGAGTGCTTCCTCCTCCACATCACAGCTGCAGCCACCGCAGCTCCAGTGAGCACAGCTCCAAGGAGAACCAGGCCAGCAATGATGCCCGCGGTGGGGATGGAGGACTGAGGAGGGGCACTGGAAGGGAAGGGAAGATCATACCCTGAGCCCAGACCTTATCCTGACCCTCTGAAGGGCTCCAGAAGGGCTCCTGATGGCCCTGAGAACAGCCTCAGTGCCCACATCCTCCTCCTTACCCCATCTCAGGACTTGGGGCTCCAGCAGTCCCTCATGCTGCACGTGGCACGTGTATCTCTGCTCCTCTCCAGAAGGCACCACCACAGCCGCCCACTTCTGGAAGGTTCCATCTCCCCCAGGCCTGGTCTCCACCAGCTCCATCTCCTGGGTCAGGTCCTCCCCATCTCGCTGCCAGGTCAGGGTGATGTCCGCTGGGTAGAAGCCCAGGGCCCAGCACCTCAGGGTGACCTCATCCTCAGAGGTGGGTGGTGAGTCACATGTGTCCTTGGGGGATCTGAGGTGGTAAATCAGAAAAGTCATTTTGTGTTTCCTCCATGGACACTGAAGAATCCTCATGAGAGCATCCTCACAATGGACAAGACAACTGGTGTGGCAGGAAGAAGCATAAACTGTAAAAAAACAGGCTAATCTGGGGAATCTGTGCGATTCTCTATTCCTAAGAAAGTTCTGGAATGAGGAGAAAGCCCAGGGTAGGATGAAGCAGAGGGAGTGGAACACAGACGTTTTATTCCTGACCTGGGTGGAAGGTGAATGACACAGAAAAGCAGGGGATCACATAACTGAAAATGTTCTCAGACCAGAAACAAGACTGAGAGAGAAACTCGTGGTTCTCAAACAGGCCGCCTGGTCAGAAGGACCCGGTGACGTGTGATGTCAGGGACTGTCTGTCTTTCTCAGGAGAGACGGGATCCCTTCACTGTCCTTCAGGAGAAGCCGGAGTCTCTGGGAGTCTCTCTAGTGCAGAACATGAACCCCAGGGGAGTCCCCCTCTCGGGACTAGAGAGAGGACTCATTTCCCGCAGTGACTCCAGGCAGGGGGGGACCGGGAGGCCTCCAGGCCCTCTTACCCGTGCGCTGCAGAGTCTCCTTCCCATACTCCAGGAATGTGCGCAGCCACCTCAAGCACCTGCCCTCCAAATTGTTCCTGAATTCCTCTGCCTCACCCTGGGCCTCCCACTAGCGCGGGTGATCTGAGCAGCCGTGTCCGCAGCGGTCCAGGAGCGCAGGTCTAGTTCAGGCCAGGTAATCAGCGCCATAGTAGGCGAACTGATCATAACCGCGGAGGAGGCGCCCTCGGGCCCCACATCGCAGCCAAACATGTTCTTGGAAGGTGTGAGAGCCTGTCCCCGCCCCGCCACCCGGGATCTCCCCGCCCCACGCCCCCTCCCGCCGGGAATAAACTAAACAGAATGAAACGGGGTGAAAGTCCCGCGGGCTGTTCCCGGGCAGGTTGCAGAGAAGCCTGGAGGGGGAGACCCTGACGACCC